TTAGAGAGTTGAATAGATTTTTCTCCTTTAGCTTACTTAAATCTTTGGTTTTAATTAGTTAGGTAGGTTCCGATTCAACACATTGTAGTTTCATTTATATACCTGTGATCTTGACTTTTATACCTAGGGGATGAGTACTTAAGGGGGTTAGATTTTGATAAGTTCTTTAGTGGGAATGACACTGATGAAGACTGCACATTGTAGTCGAAATACGTATCTGTCATGGATACCAAAATTAATTAAGTGGAATTAAATGGAAGATAACCTTTTTTTGCTGTTTTATTAAAGCATTCCGCAAACAACCCAATTTCATTACTTCATTATGATGGCTACCAAGCCTTTGGGATTTTCCTTATTAGAGAGTTGAATAGATTTTTCTCCTTTAGCTTACTTAAATCTTTGGTTTTAATTAGTTAGGTAGGTTCCGATTCAACACATTGTAGTTTCATTTATATACCTGTGATCTTGACTTTTATACCTAGGGGATGAGTACTTAAGGGGGTTAGATTTTGATAAGTTCTTTAGTGGGAATGACACTGATGAAGACTGCACATTGTAGTCGAAATACGTATCTGTCATGGATACCAAAATTAATTAAGTGGAATTAAATGGAAGATAACCTTTTTTTGCTGTTTTATTAAAGCATTCCGCAAACAACCCAATTTCATTACTTCATGAATATTTCTGTCAAAGATGACTTCTAAATTTATTCACCTTTCCATACGTACCGTTAGATTTGATAAAGAGTCACAAATTGTTGAGATATTGTTTAAAATCTAATAGGGTAGAGAACTACTTCGGCCTAATCGCCCATTTTGGGTCTATCGAGCAGAAAACTTCAAATAAATCCATGATTTAAGAGCTAACAAGTCAATTATGCGTTTGGTACAATACTTTAGTTAATAAGCTACCGAACGAATTCAATGAGAACGCGTGATATGAATGTTTGCACCCATTATTCTCAAAAACAAAAGAAGCGCTCCGACCGAATCCATTTTTATCTTCATCCGATAGGCCGAAGTGAATTCATTGGCGTTTCAATGGGGTTTCAATGCGTTAGGACGAGTTTAGAATCCGTAGGCCGAGTTTGGCGTTAAGAAGCAATGTTAGACTTTTGACAATATCTCAACCATTGGTTTCCCTTTATCAAATCTTACGGTACGTACGGAAAGGTAAATGAATTTGGAAGCCATCAGTTATAATAACATTCCGTTTGGTACTGCGCTAGATTAAGAAATACTAAGTGCGGGTTGTGCTCAATAGGCCGGAAATGGGGTAGTTAACCCTACTGCTTCTTGATTCTAAATTCGTTCTACGAGTTTCAATTCCGTCCTAACGCATTGAAACGGCATTAGATTGTCTTCGTCCTACGGATAAACGTAGAAAAAGGGGATTCGATAGGAGCGCTTCTTTTGTTTTGAGAACAATGAGCGTAAATATTCATACAATGCGTTCTAATAAGATTTATGTAGTGGCTAATAAACTAACGCATCGGAACAAACCTATTATTGATTTGTGCACGGTTAAATCACTGATATTATTGATCTTTTCTGTTCGATAGAACGGAAATGGGCGATTACGACGAAGTAGCGCTCTACCTTAAGTATGGTTTTCTTGAACATTATTCAAAGACTCATATTGAGGAAAATTGTTGCCAGAAGCTTTTTTTTTAAATACACGCTTAAAAAATATGCTCGAGCTCGGCAATACAGAACACTGAGCCAACGCGGCATCATCATAATAAACTGAGAATTCAGAAAATAATCAGTTTTAGCCGAGATTTAGCACCAATGTGAACTGAAATTTCAGCATGTTTAATTTTTTTCCGTCATTTGGCAACACCGATGCCGAGCCCAAACGTTAACAATGATTTCACTGATCTCGGTAAAGTGATATGCCGAGATTTCATTTTAGCATCGTTTGATTACCGAAATTCGACATTTCAACTTTCATCCGCTAGTGTTCGGAAGTCTCGTGAAAAACTGTGTTTTGTCTGTTGAGTACAGTGGAAGTTCCTGAAAATATGGAACCGATCCTTGGAGCACTCCAGCAGGAAGACGTAAATTTCAACAAAATCTTCCGTAAGTACAATTGACATGCATATTTGTAGAAGTCTTTTCTGTACTAATGGATATTTTTGGTCGCTATTGAAAATTTAGTCGATTGCTGAATTTATGTATGGTCCCAAATTAGTGGCATTTAGGCCGACATTACATCCATTTCCCCTATACGTTGGTTGAGTGAACAATCTGAAATATGGGTCATTCCAGCTCAAGTGGGTACACCACCTGTGGTCGATGTCCCCGATTTGAGCCAAACTTGGCCAAAACGCTTGTTTTGGAATTCTGAACAAACTCCTTTTTTGATTTTGCTCTAAAATGCTTAGATCCTTCTGGGATACAACCCTGGATTTTCGAGATTTTTAAAAATTTCAACTTTCAGAAGAGATTACTCCACAACCAAATAAGCTATTCGTGATCTTAGAATGTCAACTATACGGTTTTTTTTCTTTAAATGTAGATTCTTACAAGCGTAAAAAATGTTGTTTTTGTTATAGTAACTACAGTAAACAGACTAATTACCGGCAGGTATCCAAATTCTCAAAAAATGGCCTATTTTCATTAAGGGTGGGATTTTTTTTATTTTGTTAATATTTTAGGCTCAAATTTTCAAAACCTATTTGTCACAATCATTTGCTCTTGGAAACATATCTAGTAGATAAGAGCCCAAAATATTGAGAAATAAAAAAAAATCCGCCCATGGTGAAAATAGGCCATTTTTTGACAATTTGGATACCTGCCGGTAATTAGTCTGTTTACTGTAGTTACTATAACAAAAACAAAATGTGTGTACACATATGAGAATCTACATTAGAAAACCTTTAAGTTGACGTTCTAAGATCACGAATAGCTTATTTGGTTGTGGAGTAATCTCTTCTGAAAGTTGAATTTTTTTTTTAAATCTTGAAAATCCAGGGTTGTAGACCAGAAAGATCTAGGCACTTAAGAGCAAAATCAAAAAAGGCGTTTGTTCAGAATTCCAAAATAAGCGTTTTGGCCAAGTTTGGCTCAAATCGGTGACATTGACCACAACTTTTTGAAATTCTATACCCACTTGTGCTGGAATGACCCATATGCAATTTGATGTTTAAAATTTATTGAATTTTTTTTGCCGTGATTTCAGTTTTACAGTGCCGAGGAATCAGTTTGCTTAAACTGAGATTTTCGGTAAACCGCACGAGCTGTCATTTTATTCATACCAAAATTACCGGCGACACTTTGTTTGCCGAGCTCATTGCCGAACACTCGGCTGTTTGGATCTCGGTAAAAAAAAGAAATCGAAGTCTGTAGATAGTCGAGTTTTATAACATTCGGAAGCCTAATATCAATCTTATACACTCAGTTTTTTTAAACCTACCAAGATGATTTCTCAAGTACTTGAATATTATACAAAAAAAAATGTTGATGCTAATCGTAATTATAGCATAGACATATTTAAAAAATTTCTGTATATACACCAAAAAATTTAATTTTTTTAAAGTTTGCCAATCCTGTGGCTTGGAACGGATAATGTGATTCAAATCAAGTCGATTGGTTGTATCGTTATCGATAAATTTTCAAAAACGTAACGTGTAAATTGCGACTTAACGGCACCAACCTTGTAAAAAAGATTTGAGGGTATTGCAAAAAGGGTGATTATCGGGCAAATTAGGGGCTTGATGGTTTCTTGGGTAATTTAAGTAATACCTTCAAAGCCATGTTGAAAATTGTTAATAAGTTCAAATTCGGCTTAATGACCCAACCGGCCCAATGCCTCTACATAGCTCTTAGCAAACTACTTATATCATATAAGCATTGAAAATTATCAATTAACACAGAAATAACGTAACGACATTCACTCGGCTGTCGACAAAAGCAGGCCACTCTTGATGTGTGACACGCGATCGCTGATTTTCTCGGCAGCAACCATTGTGTGGTCCTCCTCATTGTTCTTCATCAGCAGTTCTTCCGGTCGATGCGTCGTCGACTTTGGAAAGCTACCGTTTCGAGATGAGTGTGTGAGTGCTGGTCTCGTTTTGCGTCCATTGCTGCAATGGAAGCGCTCTGACCCCCGTTGGTGTAACTGCCATACAATGAAACCACTGGAAGCGGTTCCAGTTCTGATGGAGGAGCTTTTTTGGATAGCGGAAGCTGTTGTTCCTTTTGACCATAGTTTTAAGATGTATTGTATAGTGACCAACAATCCTCGTCTCTGTAAAGTTAATTTGTTTGAGCCATATCAAAAAGAATAATAAACAACAACAACAGAAATAACGTAACTGTTGCGTGAAAAGTTCGAAGGGGGAAATCCACGATTGTATCATTAAGCAAATCCTTTGTGATAGGATTGAAAAAAAATACGAAGATTAAAAAAAACATGGAATTCAATCATAAACTGAAGACTGCAGACTGATTCTGAATCAAAACAAAATGACGGAACTCCTAAAAACAGCATAACACATAACGGTTGTTATCGAAGATGTTTTGAACCGACATAACAAAAATAACTGACTTATCCTGAGCCAGAAAAATCCCACACAGTAAAGTAATTTGTTATTTTTAACGACACTGGAAACCCTTACCATATCTATACAAGTGAAAATTGCAAACCAAAAAGCGCATCAAAAATACAGCTATAACTGAAACTAACAAATTCACCGGTTTAAAACAAAATCCAAACTAACAGCTATGGAACCAAACTAAGAGAATAATTGTACATCTATAATACCTATTTACATAATTTTCACTTTTTTTCCAATAGGTTCAAACGATAAGGAATACTCTAAGGACAGAGGAGATGGGAAGTGAAACTATAGATAGAGTAAGAGAGGAGGAAGTACTTTGGCATTGTATTGTTTTTAACTGTTTTTTTGGTACAATTTGCTTCGGGTGTTTTTTGGTTTTAGGTGTTAGTGCTCTTGTGACACAACGAAAGAAAAAGATATCGGTTTAACCTCTCACCTGACATGGTTCGTTAAATGCTCTTTTCTCATAAATTTCTTCTCGCAATAGGTGCAATGATAAGGAGTCTCTCCAGTGTGCAATCTGTGTACAAAAAGGGGAAAGATTCATTTGTTTATATAGAATAAAGAGAGTCTAATTTAGGAGGTATGTACAATAAGGAGACTAAGATTCTAACGAGGCAGGCTTCCACAGGCAGATTAGGACGAACAGGGCCAGCGCCATTTGGACGGGGTTATTTCACAATTTACATCTGTGGTCCTTCGGCTGGCCGGCTGGCTGTGGTCCTAGATCTGCCGGTTTTGCTTTTGGGGGGTAGTGGGTGGGTAAGGAGATTGTACTTAAATTTTGTATTGAACCCGGCTTTTTGATAATTGCTTCTTTTTTACTGTCGCTAATTTTGAACGATTCCATATGAAATCTATCATTTGTGCTTTTTTTTTCTTGTATTGGGATTTCTTCGATCAACTCGTATTTAGATTGAAGGTGCTCATTCCTAGTTTCGTGAACACGCAAAACAAACACATTGCCGGTATAACTTGTCCTACTGGCTTGTACTCTGATTGGACTTTTGTTGAAATTACGGTGATGTTTTTTAAAAAGAGACGAGGGGCGGGTTCTTCGTTTGTTTGGTTCTTACAAACTAAAAGGATTGCAATAACACATCATCCTCACCTGGTATGATTCGTCAAATGCTCTTTTCTGGTAAACTTCTTCTGGCAATACGAGCACTGATAAGGAGTCTCGCCCGTGTGTAATCTGAATCGAGAGGCGGAAAATGCAAGCATACAGAGAGATACACAGAGAACATTTTAGAAGAACGATCTTTGCTAATTCGTACCAAACATTGAATGTGGTGTTTACGGAAACAGATGAAGTTTTATTTTACTTGTTTTCGGGAAGAAAGCTTCAGCAAAAAATAAGTCCCCGGATTGAATACTTTCATCGCATTTGATGTTATCGTTGGAATTAAAGTTTTAAATTGGGGAGAATACGGCCCGGCTCAAATCGGAATTGGTGTGAACAATCTCGGAAAAGCTTAAGTGAGTATATGTGTGCACGAAAAACTCAAATTGAAACCAGCCGGGGTCTTATTTTTCACCAAGCTACGCTTTCCAAAAATGGCGCTTCAAATTGGTGTTTATTTGCATAGATTTGTTTTTTTTTTTTATTATTATTCAGAGGATTGGGTGAGTGGATGTTTGAATGAAAACGATTCTCACCTGACGTGGTTCGTTAAGTGTTCTTTTCTGGTGAACTTCTTTTGGCAATAGTTACATTGGTAGGGAGTTTCCCCGGTGTGCAATCTGCGGGAGGGCGCGCGTTTGGTATGGAAAAGAAAGTTGCGTGTAGTTAGCAAATTTTGAATCAGAATTTCGGTCACAAAAACAAACATCGACAGCACAGACACAGAGTCTCGTTTGATCGAGACATAAAAGGGGGCAAGACATTGAGTTTTAAGAAGTGTTTTTGCGTCAGTGTCGGATTCTCCGCAAGAGATTACCGGCACTGACGGGGCACACATGGTAACATGTGGGATAGCGCAAAAACAACACACATAGAGTGATGGAATGCATAAATTAGGAGCAGGGGGGGCGTACGGAGGGTGCCGAATTCTTACAGAATAGTAGCAATCTCTCACCTGAGATGGTTTGTGAGATGTTCTTTTCGAGTGAACTTCTTCGAACAGTACGTGCATTGGTAGGGAGTCTCGCCAGTGTGTAATCTAGTTGCGAAAATAACGTTCGGAAGAGATTAGCATTGTCTTGTACCGGGCAGATGTCTTACATGAGGGGAGAGGAATGATACTGAAGAATTTTGGAATATCTCCTGTGGCGGCGGGAGGATGATGGTATGAGAAAGGTGAATGATGAACTTGACATTTCGGAAACTGCTGGTTTGGGTGGCTGTAATAACGAACCACGTCGAAACCGTTTCATCCGATTACAAATATGCTCTGTAGGAACATATTCTGTTTCTGAACGGGGAAAAAAAATGGGAGTCCCTATTGGGGGAGGGAGAAAGGGGATGAGGGTTTTCTGAGGGATTGACTTACAACAATACAAAATGGACTCTCACCTGAGATGGTTTGTGAGATGCTCTTTGCGAGCGAACTTCTTCGTACAGTAAGTGCAATGGTAGGGAGTTTCGCCAGTGTGTAATCTGGTTGCAAAAATAGCATTTCAATAGACGATTAGAGCTTGAAAGTGTAATTTTGTTTTGTTTTTGTTGGAGACAGGCAGGGGGGTGACTTAGAATGTATATTAGTAGGACAAGGATAATGTGTACGTGATAAGTGATAGTGGTGACATGAAGCGGGATCTAGCCGGCTATCATAAGTGAGGTAAGCTACCCTGCGTTTCGTTAGAACAAATTTACGAGATATCGACCCAAAAATGAAAACATCGGTAGCCTACCTCACCACTACTACTGCAAAGTTACAAAGTTGACGTGAGCTCTGTCACCAGTTAACCTCTAATTGTGCTCTAATTTACATTCCAAAAGTACAATGATAACAAGTAAAAACTCGGCTCTACAGTTCAAAATATACATATTTAGCCAGATTCCATATGTAATCGAGAAAAAAGGTACATCTCAAAAAACGCCGATCACGTTAATGCCGGGATCAAGGTTGATCTAACAAGGAACAAATGATAAACAGAATGAGGGATCATAGAAACAAAACGGGAGGAATATGATTCGAAGAATGATTTGATGGTGAAAAGGATTAACCAGGAAGCGGGAATAGAGAAGAACAGACAGTGATTGAGAGAGAAAGAGATTCTCACCTGGTGTGATTGGTTAAATGTTCTTTTCGCGTAAACTTCTTCTGGCAGTACGTACACTGGTAGGGAGTTTCTCCAGTATGCAATCTGTTACAATATATATATATAAAGAGAGATAGACAGATTTCAGGGGGAAAAAAAGGGGGGGTACGGGAAGAGCAGTGCAGGGAAATTCGGAAGGAATCGGTGCGAGGAGCGGGAAGATGGCGTTAGAATTACTTTCCAGATAAACTTTCTAAAAGGATAATGAAATGAAATGTTCCATGACCTAATAATCCAAAAAACAAAACGGAGGAAAAGAAAACTACGGATACTACTACAAACTACAACACTACATGTTCACTCAAAACTAAAGATCAATGTATCAGATTAACAATATAAGATCCACTGTGTCATTGAACTTGATGGAACGATTGGAGCGCCTCGGCGCGGCAAACAACATAATTTAAAAAGAGTTTAAACCATTCGAGGGGTGTGGTGTGAACTGTGTGGTATGATGGTAGTGGTGGAGGCACTGCTCTTAGAGAACAACAGAGATGAAGCGCTCACCTTATGTGATACGTTAAACGCTCTTTTCTGGTAAATTTCTTTTCACAATATGTGCACCGATAAGGGGTCTCTCCGGTATGGATTCTGCACAGAGTTAAACAGAGAGAAAAAGAGAGGAAGAGAGAGAGAGAGAGAAAGAGGGAACAAGTGTTAATGGTGCAAAACTGATTTTTCTGCTCGCGTGTGTTCCCAAGTGATTACAACTATTTGAGCACCCCTCGATTGCAACCGAAGGCATGGGTTAAGTGTCTAGTGGACTACATTGTTAATATGATACATTTGCTACGGGTCTTGATGTATCCTTTTGTCCGGTCGGTCGGTGTAGTCCTAGCCCAAATGTGCTGTTATTCAAGCGAAGACAACATATCAAGTAGACAGACCACTCTCATGCTTTCTTATACCAAACGCTACGAAAAAGACACAATCCCGCCATCTACCGCTCAGCAGTAAAAGCTTCGTATTTGTCTCTTGGATTTTGACAGAATAGCCAGTCTTCTTGATTTGTCCGTCTTCGATTCAGGTCGATTATTATTTCTTGTAAGATTCCGTCGTCAGTAAGGTCAAAACCAATTCGATGTCGGTGGTGGGAGGGAAATTTTTGCTAGTTTGATAGTATCCTGTCTTTTGATCGTTTATAAATCATAGCACTATGGTTGGAATCGTAGGGAATGTGAATTATGTTTGTCTTAGAAAGAGAGAAAAAAAAATGTGGAATATGATGCAGGACGGGACAAAGCGTTGGTTTTGGAACCTCACCTGACGTGATTTTTCAAGTGTTCTTTTCGCATAAATTTCTTCTCGCAATAGGTGCAATGATAGGGAGTCTCTCCGGTGTGCAATCTGTAGAGTAAGAGAGAGTACCATATTGATACAGGGACCCGCGCAATACCAGGCAACCGACGAACGGTTCACCAGCTGGGCAGCTTTACAAGGGAAGGGAGCTTACTAGCAGGGGAATCACCACGACCAAAGGATTTTTACTCAGATTAGTAGCGAGAAAATGTCTAAACCCAGCTTCAATTTCGAACAGGTGCTTTACCGAAAAAGGTTTCTAAATAAGGCTATGTTAAAACCGTCTAAAAACCAGGCTACTATTTTCCCATTACCAAAAGTAAAGGATACAGAGGTTATAGATTCTCGGGATTGTCATATAGGAACATGGATCTTCCAGGTACGGCGGTTGTGGTGGCGAACAATAGTTAAACCAAATGCTCACCTTGTGTGGTTGGTTAAATGCTCTTTTCGAGTGAATTTCTTCTCGCAATAAGTGCACTGATAGGGAGTCTCTCCGGTGTGCAATCTGTCAATGGAGAAAATTTCAGTCAGACAGAGGAAGACACTGCTTGCATTGAAATGTACTTCCGGGCTGGTGTCCCTTCGAATTCCAAGAACTCTCCAAAAGGAACCACTAATTACATTACACTAAAAGGGGGATGTGTATGGGGGAAAAGGTGTCCATCCAGATGCCAGCTTTCAAGTTTCCAAATACGAATATCATCATTATGTTCACGCGAGAAATCACATTACTTGAGCTCATTTTGATCCAGAATACAAACTACGCGAGCAGCAGGTTCAGTACAAAATGACGAAACGATACGGATCGTACAAGATCGTAATCGGTAACCCGAAAACTTGCACTTTGGGGTCACTTTTGCCCTCAACTCAGTAACAACAACAGTTCCTCGACCGGTTCAATGGCTCGAAGGGAACCTGCACCAGAAGTGCATTTGCAACACACACACATTTACATTTACAGAAAACACAGGAAAAAGGTAAAATTGGGGGACAAAATGTGTACGGTTGGTTTGTTGAACGCTCACCTGACATGATTTGTTAAATGCTCTTTGCGGGTAAACTTTTTCTCGCAATAGGTACACTGATAGGGGGTCTCTCCGGTATGTAATCTGTTGAATCGAAGGGGGTCGTGGATGGATGAGAGAAAGAGAGAGAGAGATAGATAGACACAGATTAATGTCCGGCTTCCAGACAGGTGCGTCACGATATTAGGAACGATCGATTTGTTTACTGTTTTTTTTTTTTTTTTTTTTGGTTTTCGGAAAGCTAATAGACAATGATGAATGGTTAAAATTTTGAACGTCTTTTCACATTTGATAGCTGGAACTGCCGCGTTTGGGCCCCCAGGAAATTAGCGATCATTTTGCATCACCTTCCAAGTATCAAATCAGACGACGAGTGTGGTCCGAAAAGGTCGAATGTGAGAAAAATGGGTTTACGATCAATCGAGAGATGAGAACAAAAACAAGTGAATTGTGGTATAATGGTAGTGGTGGAGGCTCTGCTTTTTAGAGGAAACAGATGAAGCGCTCACCTTATGTGATACGTTAAACGCTCTTTTCTGGTAAATTTCTTTTCACAATATGTGCACCGATAAGGGGTCTCTCCGGTATGTATTCTGTACAGAATTAAACAGAGAGATAGAGAGATAGAGAGAGAGGGGACAGGTATTAATGTTTCAAGCACACATTTTTTTTTTTGAAAAAGCTTTCTGAGCAAACTTTCTTCACCCGGCTCGTCTTTGGTTTTTCTGCATCGATCATTTACAAGAAAGGAACTCATCGTCATGAGACAGACGCGGTTGGCTTTACCCTAGATATCTCCTCTAACGCAACACAAACTTCACAATAGAATGATTGTTCACCTTACATTTGCCAGGGCCATTTACATTAAATCTCCTTGGAGTGAAGATGGAAAAACCACCCTTAAGAAGGGGGTTAACTTTATCAATTCCAAATGCCATCCAGTCAGTGAGTGACACAGACACTGAAAGCCAAAGTCACTTCTATATGTTTCCCAATTATCAAAAAACACGGGTTTCAATCGCTTAGGTTGCCAATTTCTTTCTCCTTTTGCGTAGTGCCTACATGTGTTTTTTATTTGTTATCAGAAAAAGGCAATCTCAAGGCGGGGAATCGGTAGTAATGTGGGTACGCAAATTGAATTATGGGAAAGCAAATAAACGCTCACCTTGTGTGAATCGTTAAACGCTCTCTTCTACTGAATTTCTTCTCGCAATATGTGCACTGATAGGGAGTCTCTCCAGTGTGCAATCTGTTGAAGAAAAGAGATAGAGAGAGAGAGACAAGATGTTGTTATGCTGGGGACGCTCTTCGATTTCTTCAGATATGCAACAGCAGTATGAATGCCGTTGCCGTGTGGCTTTGGATTCCTGTCTGTATGTAGTAGGTACGTAACTATTCTTGCTCTTGAGAGGGTGATGTTTTTTTTTTGCAAAACGAAACAAATGAGAAAAAACGGAAAAGTAAAACACGGTGCCTTGCCTTCCTCGGGAAAAGGTTCGCAAAATATTCAATCTTATGAAGCTAGGAAATTTTCCCGAGATTTTCTTAATTTGGTTCGATCGAATTGAAATTTCCAAAATGATTTCAAGGACAAGGTGTCAACAAAACAACTAGGCCGAAAGCGATCAAAAGGTAGTCAATTTGGACTAGATTTTCAGTTAAATTTTGAAAAAAGATTCATTTGTGTCGTATTCCTGTCACTGGCAACAATCATTCTGTTTTCGTAAAGTTTTTCAGCATTGTGGAAATTCAATTGCTACTCCTGGCTTGAGCGTCCGATGCGTTCTACATTTCTTGCTTCGAGATGTCACACATTTTCTAGCGTGGCGTTAGGAGGACGAATTTTCTTCGCATTACTTTTCCGTGTTTGTACTGGTACAATGGCAGAAATGCAAACACATTTTGTTTTATGGAGTCGGGGAGGACACATTTTTGGACACACTTAAAAACACAAGCTCTTACTCAGCTAACCAACCGCTCACCTGACATGATTCGTTAAATGCTCTTTGCGGGTAAATTTTTTCTCGCAATAGGTACAATGATAGGGCGTCTCACCGGTATGCAATCTGTTTGGAATAGAAACAGAGACGAAGATAATGAAGAGAGAGGGCACACTTCCATGCTTCCTAACTTGGACTATAAGTATCTCCAGCTGATTCCGAGTGGGGGGATTTCGTGATTGGGAAATAGATATTCTTTTGTGGTGAAGAACTGTGCTCAACGATTGGACCAATTTTGAACAAAAAAAAAATGCGGAGGGAAATAGAGTCACAAAGCCAAGGTTGCAAGTTATTGAGCTTCAAGGACAATAGTATAAATAACAATAGGGGTTATATATATTTTCGTTGCCGAAGAAGTCGCCATCGAATGCTCGAGAGTTTGAGCCCTTCAAGAAGTCTATGTGATTCGATTGAACTAAAATCACAACTGATTTGTTTTTTCATGAAAATTTACCCTTTGGATAATTTTGTTTGGATCGTCGCTGAATCATTTCTTGATCTAGCAGTCACATTGGAGCTACTACAGGCTATATCGCAGCGAGACCATTTACGTAAATATCGTGTTTGAAGTAGCCGAGATAGATAGATGATATCGAATAAGAAAAATTTGACTGTGCAATTTAAATAAATAGCACATGGCAACAGAAACATTGCAACACCAACATTTGTAAACAATGACTTTCTCGTACATCAAAACTAACACCCAACGCCTACAGGTTGATGAATTATTCTCCTACCCGGTGTGGTGTTGCCAGTATGCGTGGCTGAGCTTTCATCCGAGAGATATCAGTGATAGAAGTCAGTTGGGTCTATCCCGTTTAGCATACAGCCGTTTGGCATAATAGTCGTTTGGTATAAAGTCGTTTAACTTAAAGCAGTTCCACGCCAAATGACGAATCGATCGGACTCGACGTTCTTCGATTTGTATGAAACTTTGCGTAATTGTTTGTTTGTTCAGCCATTTTGGATCTTGAATTTTTTTCAAAATGTCACGAAAAAGTCACTTTTCATTGAAATGACATCTAAGAAAAAAATTTAGAGAACAATCAAGTCTTTACAGGAAAGATAAACACGGTAATTTTGTTTTAGGAAATTAGAGTAAAATTCAGAAAAAACAGTTGGAAATTTCATCATTCAACATGGTTTTGTTCACCATTTATAAATATGTTTTGTAGCTCATGAAAAATACAAACTTTTAAAATATGAAAACCCTTGGATACTTTTTTTTCCCTTGATTTGTTTTCCGTCGATCTTGTTTGCCGTGCTGAGCACCAATGGTACCGACGCCAGGGAGGCAGCTCCCACACCTGAACCCTAACTATCGACCCATCAACTCATGAACCGGGGACCAACGGCTTTACTTCCCATCCGAAGGAAGGCGTGATCAGAGATGTTATGCCTCAGAACATTCCGGCGGCGCCAACTGGGATTGAACCCAGGCCTGCTGGGGTGAAAGACCACCACCACCGGCACCGCTAACCCTTGGATATTTGAAAATTGACCAAAATCAACCGCTAACCCTTGGATATTTGAAAATTGAACAACAACTTTTGGTCAAATTTTTTAACTTTTTTATAAGTATGCTTTTTTATGAAATTTTCACACAGACGAAAACGATGTTAAAAAGCGTACTAATAAAATGTTTAAAAGTTGTTGTTCTACCAAGTTTATTAATTTTCAAGTGTCCAAGGTTTTCTATATTTCAAAAGTTTGCATTTTCATGGGCTATTTAAAAAATAATTTTAAGAATTGGCAATCTAACGATAGCATAAAGCGCCACTTGTGGCAAATCGGAGAACTAGAAAACTGATGATGGTATCATAATTTTGCACGGCGAGGTATGGGAGAATATTTTAAAAACGTTTTTATTTAACGAATAAAGAATTTTCTATACATTTGGTTGTGCATATGAGGTTAGAAAAGTTTGAATCTTAACGAAAACTAAGAAGAAGAAAAATTAAATTATACGTCTATCAGATAGCTTTTGAGGTTTCTTCCTCCGTAGCAGCTTTGAAAAAAATGACAAATATTTTTTTTCGGATAATAAATGCTTTTCAAGATTTCTTTCCTATACCTCAACGTGCAAAATTTTGAGACCATCATCATTTTTCCATTTCTCCTATTCGCCACGAACGCTATCGTTAGATCGCCACTAGAACAAGTACATTTTGAAATATTTCTCATTTTAGAATTAATACTGAAAATTTAAAAAAAATAGAGGAAATGGATGTAATGTCGGCCTAAATGCCCGTAATTTGGACCCATATATAAATTCAGCAATCGACTTTTCAATGGCGACCAAATATATCCATTAGTACGGTCCCAATGACGCGTTCATCTAGATAAAATTGATAAATAGCAGATTTTTAGCGAAGGACCCAATCTTAGATCCATAGACCAACATTAGAGCCATTTCCGCTATTATAGGTATATTTTTCCTAGAAAGACTTTATTTTTCTCCACAACTTTGTCTCAGACGCAAGCAATCAAAAACATCTCAAAATGATAAAATGACAAGCGATCAATGGGAAGCAATAATGCTTTATTGTTATTATTCATGACAAACTGCCTTTGCAATATAGCTCGCTCGGGCTTGTAGAAGGAAACGACCATATTGTTGGCAAGCTGCTTCACGAAGTAAAGCCGAAGATGATACACGTGTGTTAATGGGATTTTTTTTGTAATGTCTTTTCTCGATTCCGATCAAGCTATATCCTCAACCATGTATATTGCAACAAAGCAGGCAAGCAATATATCATTATCCTTCTGCAACTCCGATCAAGCTATATTGTAGAGAGAGTTTATCGTGGTAGTAGCAGCAAGCGATTTGTCTTTATCGTTGGTTGCTTTATGTGTTTGGATTCGCTGCTCAGGCGTCATTTCGATCAGAAGTGACGTTTTCGTGCTCAATGTATTGGAAACGTCAAAGATACCATTTTGGAAAAAAAAATGCATCATCCAAAATGGTCGAATTTAAGCAAAACTGTTATGCAAAGTTTCATGCAAATCGGAGGGTCAAAAATTAATTATTATTTTGCTATTTGGCCTGGAATACCTCATAGCAGTTGTTTGGCCTAATGGTCGTTAAACCATTCGGAATATATCAAATCCAATATTTTGATAAAGACGGTAATTCTACTCTCTTTGAATATTTCCTTCTTCATGTAGATTCATAAAGAAGAGTACATGTACTCCATTGAATATTTTAATAAATAAGGGAATATATTGTTCTTTGAATATTTTAATATAAAAGGAAAAATTTCCTTCTATGAATACATTGACAAAGAAGGGATTATTCCCTTCTTTTAATATCGTCGAGAACGGCTTCAGCTTATTTCAGAACCTATTCCAAGTACGGAGTTTCTCTCAAGAAAATTTATCAGAAGTCTATCCGTGCCAGAGCTGGTAAATGTCAGAGAAATTATATGGGGAGAAATTTGTCAAGACATTTTTCCCCCATACGTTTTTCTAAGTAAGATTTCATTTTTTTTTAGAAAAAAAAGTCTCGTTATCTCTAATAGTGAAGCATCATACTACAAACAAGAAGAGGGTTGTGAGTTATTGTTTACCTCATGCTTGAAATAGGGTCTTGAGAGGACTAAAGCCGTTCTCCACCCTAATTTGATGAAGAAGAGAATTTAATAATAAATGGTACAGCAGCTGAATAGCTGGGCCTCCCTTAGCTCAGTCGGTAAAGGAGCAGCTACAAAGCAAGACCATGCTGGAGGTGGCTGGGTTCGATTCCCGGTCCGGTCTAGGAATTTTTCGGGTTGGAAAATTTCTCGACTTCCCTGGGCATAAAAGTATGATTGGACTTGCCACACAATTATACCAATGCAAAAATGGTACAGGCATCGAAAGCTCTCAATTAGTAACTGTGGAAGTGCATCTAGAACACTAAGTTGAGAGCACGCAATAAGCTAATATGCGATACGCAATAAGCTTGAAATGCGAAGAAGAAGAAGAACTGAATAGCTCATTCTGGCAAAAGAATATCTGGGAATCGTATCATTCCGGGAAATGATATTTTGGAGATGTATCTTCGGAAAGTGGCATCCCGAGAAATGTGCTATCACCGTTTGTTTTAATTATTAAAACAAACTAAAGCTATATTAATATTTGTTTGGATGCCAACTAGAGGTAAAATTTACTTTTTTCTTTTCATTATTATTGAGATTTTTAGCAACTAAAATAAAACTGTTTCACGGCATTATGCCAAACGACTGTATGCCAAACGGGGTAGACCCATCTCAATTATACAACTCTATGTGGTCAAATCGGGAAATAGTGGGTTTTTGTTGATCTGAATGTTTCACAATTTTGATATTTTTGTGCGGGATTTAAAGCAGCCACATCGCATTTCTAACGAAGCCCTACAATATAATGATTATAGAAGTTCTGATATTTTCAGTTAGATATGCATTAACACATCTTTGCAGTTGTAATTGGTATTACATGATTTTCAGAAATAGTTCTAGTCCGGTACAGTTATATTTAGAATTTTTATTCATTTTTTAATGTAGATTACGATTCATAACCTCGATACTAAAGGTTAATTCTCAACCTAAAAATTAACGCATTGTTCAAAATATATATTGAATGGAAATCAATATTTGCCTCAAGTACGCACTAATCCAGGCCTCAAATTTCGAACTACGGAACTGTTCGGTAAAAGTTTAAAAATTTATGAAAAATTCAAAAATTCTACCGTCTTTGGTGATCTTAATTCAGTGTGTAGGAGAAGAACATGTCATAGAAAAAAATCGTATGCCGAATAATCGAGACTGTGAAACTTTCCTGGGGTGATATTTATTCGTTATAAGTTGAATAACTCCAACACTAGTCGAGTTTAGGAATATTCTAAAAGGGTTTTGTTTAACTCTACAATCAAAATTGTGTCTATTAAATGGAGCAAAACGCTTGAAAATACACATAAGCTAGTCTGGATGTAAACAAGCTTTACAAAACCACGCTATCTCTAGGCTGCGTCTCATTAATCAGCTTAAATTTACCGAGTTCGAAAGTTATTTACCGTAACCAAATATCTCGACAGTTAGCATGCATAA